CCCTCTCTCTGTATAAAACATGTTGGCATTGATTTGATTCAGACTCCTGACCTGCAGGCTGGAGGAGACCTGCCCCGTAGGGGTTCCAAGCCTGTCAGTCTTTACGGAAGCAGACGGCCTCATCTGAGCGGCTGGTAGCTTTGCTGACCTGTCCGTTGGCAGCTGAGTGCTTAACCACTGCACCTGTGGGGCTCCTCTTTGTGTATTAGGGGTTGCAAGATTCTGTCGCGTGTTGCGGTCTCCCTCCTGTTCTGTCCTTTGATCTTGAATTTCCCAGGTATTTATCCTGTTGGTTTTGAAATGTCATACTTAACCCTGATTATCTGATTAAATACGTTAAAAAATAAGCTCCTAACTAATTCCTGTTGAAGAAAGGTGACGATTCCCTGTGTATTGAGTTAGTGACTTTGACTTGAGGGGACTGTCGCTGGTTTTGTGCAGGATCCATTGTCATTTTTGTGGCTGAAGCTCTCCAGTCAGTGGTCAGCCCCCCTCAACAGGTGGCTGTGCCTTGGACTCTCTCCTCTGCGTTTCGCCTGCTGGGCTGGGTGGAAACGCACTGTCTTCCTTTTGCTGATCTCTATACTTAGTCTCTAGGAGCCCTGGTAGCATAGTGCCTAAGGCACTTGACTGCTCACCAGAAGGCTGGTGGTTCAAACCCACCAGCCACTTCTCGGAAGGAAGGTTGGGCAATCCTACTTCCGTAGTGATACTGCCTCGGAAACCCAAGGAGGGGTCGCTATGAGTCGGGGCCAACTCGACGGCAAACAACAACAACAACATACTCAGTCTCTTGTTTTCTTAAAATGCTGTACAAGTAACAGTAGATAAAAACTTATTTAAAACTGTGATAGTTGCTATAGAAAAGACTTGGCTTTGATAGCGTTAAACCATTTGATTTTCCCGCTGAGTGTCCTTTAGGTTGACTTCTAGGGATTGCATTGAGATAAAGGTAGGTTTTGGGAAGAACAAGGTAAAATTTCTTGTTTCAGACGAAGTGTGTGACCATATGCTTTTTTTTGTGCTTTATTATAATTGAACTTTGTGTGAATTGACTACTTGTTTTTGTTGAGTCAAGAGTGATTCCTCCCTTCTCATGACTGTGAGGGACTTTTGTTGTGTCGCTGAATTGCTGGAGAATTCTCAGTGGAGTGGTTTACACTTTACCCTGTTTGAACACATGTCAACCGAACTCCTTGTGTGCCTTCTCCACTCACTGTGTCATACTCTTGGCTGCAGCCATCATCTCGTTTTATAGCTTAGGGGATTTGGGGTTAGTTCTCATACATAATGGTGATAGTTTAGTAAAACTCTGACCCATTTGACATTTGGACCAAGGCACTAGCAGATCATTATGAGATTATCTGGTTGACTTTGTCACACTCTGTTCTGGTCATCGTATCGACAGGGTGTTTAATAGCTAGTATTGAAAACTTGACATTACTCATGGTTCGTCCCTGTTTTCCTAGGAGGTATAGGTAGGGGCGGGGAATGAAATTATTTGTGAAGATAAGTTTAGAATTCGTATCCACAAATAGATTAACCTAAGGTTAAGCTGAATTTAACCAGAAACCATATACTTTGCCCCAACTCTATTTTTGACCCAAGGTTTGTTCTTGCATCTTGAAAATGGAAGTAGAGCTTCTTAATTTTATTTCTTTGAATGAATGAACAGATAAAGCTTTGTTTCTCATTGATCTTGTCCTGGCCAGTTGGATTCAAGGAGAGATTGATTCATTTAGCAGCTTGTATTTGACCATCTTAGTATTGGCTAGAGTAATATTAAGATTGTAGGATTTTAGGGAATAGCAAAGAATGCCAACAATGTTTCTTTACTTTGGGAAAGGGCTACTACCGTGATGACGAGTACTGGCTTTGCAGTCGGACCTTAGGTTCATTGTGAGACTCTGGGCAACTTATGTAACCTCTTTTAAGTCTCACTCATCTCAGCTGCTAACCAAAAGGTGGGCGTTTCGAACACTCCAGCTGCTCCATGGGAGAAAGATGAGGCAATCTGCTTCTGTAAAGACTGACAGCTTTGGAAACACGATGGCACTGGGTTTGGTTTGGTTTGGAGACATGGCAAGGTGCCACCTTTGAACTATTACTGACATTTTTCTTCCGTCTGAAATGCTTATCTTCCCTTCCCATCCTCACCTGTTTATCTCACCAAGTTGTTAGTAATAAACACATTAACGGGTGTGAAGTACTTGTGAAGTACTTGACAGGTGCCTTACCTTTGATTAACTGTTTTCTTGCCTTAAGTTCAATCACAATAAAAAGTGTTTTGTATGCAAGGGCACACATGTAAAGTAAAGCAAAGGGAACATTTTTGCTAATGAGCCAGTGGGCTGTTTAACATAGGCTGGCATGTGTTGATTACTTTGCTGAAATTTGTATAAACACTTTTATGATCATTCCAGTTGGTAGTTTATTGTGGAAATTATTTTCCTGAGTAAAATAGAACCAAACCAAACCAAACCTTTTACTCGGTTTCACTTAGAACATGTCAGTAACTTGGGCATGGCATTTTATTTCTCCACATCTTATATTCAGGTCCCCTTCTAAAGCAGACAGATGTGACTAGTTGCAGTTCGATATTCCAGTTTGATTGACTGTGGTCTGGTCAGGCATCCCCTGTTTTGTGAAGTCCTCTTAGTCTCTGCCCTCTTGGTCCCTTGATTACATACATGTTACCACAGAAGTACGTCACAGTGAGTTAGGTTGTGTTTGTGTGTCTGTGTTACCTACTAGATTGTATTCTCTGTTTGAGGGCAAGGTGTGTTTTGAATTCGTAGTTGAAATCTAGCTACTTAGAGGAATTCCTCATACCACTTAGATTTTTAAATGCCTAGTTGCACATACCTTTTTTGTTTAAGGAATAAATAATAGTTCAGATTTGGAGTTTAGCGTACAGATGAGGTTTTGGTTTAATGTACGTTCTGTGTGATGAGACACTGTTCCTCGTCTTTTTGCCTCACCATTGGGATCTCCATTGGTGTCTTCCCTTTTTAGATGTCACTCTGGGTCCTGCTGCTTGTGGTAGTTTTTTAGATGGTGTGGATACCTCAAGTCTGGGTTCACTCTTAATGAAGGTTTTACTCTTGGATTAGAGTTTAATGTGATGTCTGTGATGGCACCTGCTTGGAAAACTCTTCTACCTCAGAGACTTGGGCCATGTGTCCATCATAAGAGCTACTGAGGAGGGCGAACAAAATGTTAGATTTATTTTAAAACCTTCATTCAATATTGTTTAATGCAGTCCTGTATAGAAAATCAGCTGGTAATAACCAGCTGGTAATGGGGTCAAAAGCAAGTCCGAATATGTGAAGGGTTGGTGTTACAGCCATTCAAAGCAACAAGGCTGTTGCTTTCAGTTATCTCTTTGGAACTTGGATTTCTTTGTATTACTTGCATTTGATAGGCTATGCTTTTGGTTAAGGATGTGTTCTTGGACAGAAATTTTCTGAAATTTAAGTTTTAAATTATGTATGTCTTAGTTAAGGTTAGGTAACTCCTGTACATGCACACCTTTTTATAGCTGTCTACTTGAAGCAGAAACTTAGAACTTTTTTTTGCATAAGGGAAGGCTTTATTTGAAAGGATTATTGTGATGACCCGGAATCTTGCCCTTCCATTCTTTCTAAGGAGTTAAGTTATTAGAAATAATTTGCTTCAGAATTCTTTGGCTTACCATGTGGTTCCGTGGCATGAACCATGAAGAGTTCATGTTTATTCTCATCCCCAAAAGTTGTTTGTGGTGTAGACACAGAAAGTAACTGACTTAGTCAAGATTACAAAGCGGTGGGGATATTTTAAACTCATAAAACTTTACCCATGGCCATTCTTTTGGGGTTGGTAGGTAGTATGGTTGCTTTTCTTCACGTTAGTGTGATTTTTTTTCCCCGTTTTCTTTTCCCTTATTATGTCAAAGATAACATAGCAGGAGGCGGACCCACTGGAGAGCAGAGAAGCTACTTTCCATAGGATCATTTCCCTTGGCATCATTTCCCAGGTCCTGCTGATGGACTGTTTTCTTCGACTTGGTTGTCCCTAGCATGGCAACTTTTACAAATGTGTTTGTCTGGCGACAACAGCTATTTTGGAAGAAAGTTCATTTTACACTGTGTTTCAGCAGGCTTCCCGTATACCACAGCTGCACAGCGAGTGCACAGAGTGCGCTCCTCTAGGCTTTACATTAGGTGCCTGCGCATGCGCCCTCTAAGGTGCGACTTAGTGCAGATTTGCTGTAGTTAAGAAAAGTGAGGTGGTCGGAACCACTGTTAACTGTCCCACACAGAAGTCCTGCCGACTGTTAACTATCATTTACTGACGTGGTAATGTTAGCCAAGGAAGTTATGATTTTATTAAAAACGTTTTTGGATTTTCTGGAGCCACAATGAAATTTGTGTGTTTCATTTTATTTTTTTAGCCTGCCCTTCCTTCTTTTCATTTAGTGACCTTTTCAAAGCTCGGTATAAAAAGAGAGAGTGACTTGCCTTGGACTTGCCGTCCATTCCTGCAGAGTCACCTCCTTGTTAATGAGGTGGTTCTTGGGAGCAAGTAAAGTAGCCAGGTGGGCCTAAGACAACCATCTATTCTGCAGACACTTTTATACCTGTATTTTGTACCTTTGAAGCCATTTCCTCCCATTGCAGTGAGACTAGGTAAGTGCCAGTGGAAGCCATTTTGCAAAGCGTGTCCTTTGCTGATAATTTATGTTCATAAAATAAAGTCTATAAAAATGAGAATACAATGTGTTTCTTTAAAACATGTGTTGCTTTATAGAATATTGTTGTTCAGCCTATCAGGACTCTGGGTACTTTTGGAGGTGAGGGTGGGGGTGGGGGGTGATGGTGGGTGGCGACTGGATGTTAGAGGGAGTGTCTTAGAAATTCACCTGGTCCCTCTTGCACCATTCCCAACCCCTTCTGTATGTTAGTTGAGGCGAGTCTGAGGGATGTTAGGAGTGGCCTGGTTTCTTTCCTTCTTTTTCCTAGCCAAGGAAGTATCGCCTGGGCATGCTGGAGGAGAGGCTAGTTCCGATGGGATCCAAGGCACGAAAAGCAAAGACCCCTATTGGCTGCCTTGCCGACAGGTGTAAATCAGGAGCCCCCATGAATATGGTTTGGTGGAACAGAGTCACAGAAAACCACGTACAGGTAAACATTTTTATTAGACATGTTTCGAAAGCGAGTATCTTGGCTGCTTCCTGTCTCTCTGGTCTGTGGGGTGGTGGGTATGAAAGGGTCAGGTGACTTGCCTGATAGACTTACGTGATTTTTGTGCTTTCTCTGATTGTAGTAGATTTCCATGTTTTTTCTTTCTTTCTTTTTTTTTTTTATTTATTAACTTTCTTTTTCCCATTAGGATTTTGTTGAGTTTAGTTATTTCTAACATACAAGTTCTTCTGAGTACTGTATTCAAAAGTCATTCAATGAAACTCACCACAGAAAGTCCTGTTGACAAGGAATCTGAAGCCCCATCCATTTTCTTTTTCTACATTTCTGCTGTAAATGACAATTGTACGTGAACAGACATACTGAGGATTTGCTCCAAACTCAACTTCAGTAGTACATTGTCCTAGCATTAATGTAGACACATTGCAGTCTCTCACTCTCCCTTTGCTTATTGGTAAATAATAAATGTTATTTTTTTACAGCTCAAGGCTAGCTTCTGTGTAAGGTTCTGAATTATCCACAAAACAATTTAAATTATGTTCCGTTTTAATGTAGTTTACAATTTTTATAGTCTTACTTTTTAAAAACTAGGTGGTTCTTGTGTGATATAGATAGTTTGGCTCCTCCTACTTTCTGTTTAACCAGAAGTAAAATGTCTTTCCTTCGACACTTTCTGAGTAAATGGATGCTTTAAATATATTACTGGCCAAAGCCTGTGATTCTGTGTGAGCACCCCCACAGTGTCACTGGGGTAACAAGTGGGTTTTACCTCGGTCACCAAGTGTGCATCATCAGGGGTTCTTCCGTCCTTTGTTCTGTTCACCGTTGATACCACAGCAGTGCCTGTGTAGTTTTGGGCACAGGAGTGAACCAGTTGACCTGAAAATACTGCAGAACACGTATTTGCCTGGCTGAGCTCTTGATGAGAATTTTACTAAAGATAAGGAAAACCTGAGGAGATCAGCATTATCACCTATGTAACATTTCATTGGAAGGTTTTGCATCTGTCGATGACAAATAGCGGTGCAGTAGTTCTGCCGCGTTTTCTTGACCTTGAGAGCAGTAGCAGAGAGATTTGATAGAGGGTTTCAGTTATTTTTCTGTCTGAAAATAAATTGGAACCCAACTATTTCAGAAGAGATAAAAGTGGAACTGGAACTGCTGGTGAGATGCGGGGTCTGGGACACTGGAAAATGTGAAAGCATAGCCACGTGACCTGCCCAGAGCTGCCCGCTGTGCCCCAGTGGCAGATCTGAGGTGCCTCTTGAGTCTGTCTTAAAGGTCATTCAATTAGTGTACAATTGAATGTGCATGATAGGTATGCTGTGTTTTTAAAGTTGAAACAGCTCTCAATGGATTTACCGTCATACCAGAAAGATTAGATGGGTGTCACCTGAATTTACTATATGGACATGAGGAGTGCTCTGTTAGCCTGGTCTGGTAACACACCATGTTTGTGCAGCATTTTATAGCTCCGACCCACCTCACATTGTCAGTCACATGGTGAGATATTGAAAACTAGCCATCTGGTCTCCATCATGACCTTTGTGGAGTCTTAAACTGGAAACTGGAGAGTGTTTCACACAGAGCAAAGACTGTGTCATCAAGTTTGGTTTGTTTTTTTTCCTATTGGAGTTTTCTTCTTTAAACCAAAAAGCCAAACTCACTGCCATTGAATTGATTCTGGCTCATAACGAACCCCATTGTGTTTCCAAGGCGGTAAATCTTTACGGAAGTAGATTGCCCCGTCATCCTTCCGTGGAGTGCCTGGTGGGTTTGAACCACCAGCCTTTGGTTAGCAGTCAAATGCCTTAGTCAGTACGCCACCAGAGCTCTTTATTTATTGTGTAAGAAAAATAATTTATACAAAAAGCAATTCTGTCCCAATTTTTTTTTTTTTTTTTCTATGATGCTTACCTTTTAACGTTGTCATACGTTTTTGATAGACAAAAGCTGCTGGTTGTGTAGCTAGATTGAGTAGTCTTTCCTGTTTTGGTCGCTTCCTTTGTTTTAACACTTAGATCTTAACCAAAAGGACAGAGGGAGGCCGGTCTGTATTTTACTGTGATAATTCTGGCTGTGTCTCTTAACTAGTTGCTGCGGCCAGGTACTGCTCAGCACAGGCATCCATTGTCATTTTTGATCTTTCTCATCGTTTATGGGATGAATGTTACTGCTAAGTGGAGACATGTTGTTAGAGAAGCTACGATGGCTTGAAGGGTACACAGTGGTCAGGGGTATAGCAAATTTGAAATGAGGTTTTCTGGCTTCAGAACCCACACTCTTTGGCTGTCTGTGGTGATGGCTGGTAGGCCTTCTGGAGGGCAGTGTTTGGGGGGCATGAGAAGGTATCCATAGCTCCCCAGACACATACTGGAAGTTAGGGGTAATGCTGTGGTACTTGTAAGGCCAGTCTTTTTTCCTCCTCTTTCATCTTTTTTCTCAGTGATGTTCAAATACCTTTCCATCTGCAGCTTCTTGGCTGAGCGTCTTGGCCTTTCTCCACTTCTGAAAACAAAATAAAACAAGCTGGCCAACCTTGAAACAGCAACAAAGGAACCTTCCCTGAAAGTTCCCACCTGAGTCATTCTCATGGCAGGCCTTCTGTCAGGGCCTTCTGGGTCCCCGCCTTTTATTACTTAGTAATCATTGACTCACTTCTACCAAGAAGCTCCCAACATGAAAGAGCCTGCCTGCCGAACACATAGCGTTCATAAACAGTGATTCACGTTTTCACTTTAAAACATGTACGTAGAGAACTGCTCATTAGGGACTGAGCGTAACTTCACATTTTCCTTGTAGCATTGTAGCTTTGTGGAGGGTGCATTCACTCTTCACAGAGCTGTTTGAATATTGAACACAGCCACCTGGTCTCCGTTTCTATGTTTGTGGAGTCGCCAGGTGGGGACCCTTGGAACAGTGTCTCCTGTTTTCTCTGATTACCATCTGTTTATTCTTTAAATGCCTGCAGTTTGGTGTCACCAGCCTTTTGTTGAAACTGCTCTTACCGTTTGCCATGGCCCCCTCCCTTGTCCAGTCCAGCCGTTTTATCCAGGGCTTAACACCGTTGACCCCTTTTTTCTTTTTTGAAAGTCTCTCCTCTTTGCTCTCTGGACCGTTTCCTTCATTCCTGGGTTCTTGGGAGCCCTGTCCTTGGCACATTTGTTGTTTGCTTGTGTGCTAATGACTCCTGTGACTCCTTAATAGTTATTTGGGTTAGAACTGTTTTCAGAGTTGAAGACCTAGGTTTTCCTTGGCTTCAGTATCTGTGCGTTCTGTGCCCAGAGCACGTGGGGCCTGCCTGAAACTCAGGTTATGTTTCTCTTCTCCAGATCTCCTGCTTCTCTTGTATTTCTTCTGTAGTTGATGGCATTGTCATCTTCCCAGTCACTGAGGCTGTCTTCAACTTTTTTCCTGTCATATCCCACACTCTACCGTTTATTGCGAGGCGGGAACTGTGGAAGTTCGACTGCCCATTAGTTGAAAGACAACACATGGGACGGTTTACCTTTGCTGTCATATGAGGTCCTCCCAGTGTGAAGCCGTGTCGTCCCTGTTTGGCAAATACGGAAATTGCAATTTAGCAGAGACCTTCCTACCTCTAAGTGGTGGAGTTGGGATTCTGAATCACACCTGTTTTATTTTTGAAGCCCAAACCCAAAAACCATACTCACTGCCTATGACTCCATTTCAAGTCAGAGTGACTGTAGGCCAAAGTAGAACTGCCCCATACGGTTCCCAAGGCTGTCAATCTGAGGAAGTAGACAGCCTCATCTTTTCTCCCGTGGAATGGCTGGTAGGTTCAGACCACTAACCGGTTAGCAGCCAAATGTGTTCGCCAGTACGCTACCAGAGCTCTTTCTTGGAGCCCAAACTCACTGCCGTTGAGTCTGATTCTGACTTACAGTGGCCCCCATTGGGTTTCCGAGGTGGTAAATCTTTACGGAAGTAAATTGCTCCATCTTCTTTCTGCACAGCAGCTGGTGGGTTTGAACCACCAACCTTCTGGTTAGCAGTCAGATGCCTTAGGCACTGGGCCACCAGAGCTATCTCTCTCTCTCTTTTTTTTTTTTTGAGCCCAGATCTACTTAATTCTAAATTCTGCTCTTTCTCCTGCTGTTATGTCTTGTTTTTTGAAATTTTGTAGTTCCCTTCTCTTTTTTTCAATAACTGTTGACATAGTTTGTGCCTTGAGCATCTCTTTTGAATACTGTTCGTATCCTTTCAGGATCTGTTTGCTCTTACCTGTCTCGGGCTCTTTCCCTAATCTGTGCATACATCCTGCATTCTAATCATATGGGGTATCCCATAGAACATGCAACATGTTGTCAGTTCTGTGTACTTTGGCTCACAGTGTTAACAGAGCCTGTACATTTTTTCTCATTCACCTTTTCTACCTTTCCTTTGGAGTTGGCTCGAATGCCAGTTCTCATGCTCTGTGAATACTTGTTCGGATGCTCCAAATAAGATGACTGTTGGCCTGTTTCTGTAATAACTTGGTGTTTAGCAGTTACTTCATTCTGTTTCATGTTTATTTATCTATTTGTTTGTCTTTCCCACTGGGTTGTCAATATTTGAGACTAGGCATGAGTTTATTATTTCTGAATCCTTAAGGTGCTTTGGTCTCTAAGTGTTATTAGTTGTCCTTTATGAGTCATGTATGTAATTTTGGGGTAACTTATGTTAAGACTTTCCTGCCTCTTTACACATCAATCACAGGTTTTCGGGGCTTTCTAGCCACCACCTTTTATCATTGCTTAGTTTTATCATCATATTTGTTCAGAATGTAGGATGGTGATTTCTCTCAAAATGTTTGAGAATCTTTGTTTCTTTTAAAGCTCAGTGTCACTATTGTCCAGATATTCCTGATATTTTTCCGTCATTTAGCTCAGTAATAGTCTTTCAGTTATTTCTCCACGGTTTGGTGTAGTGACCAGGCGACTGTGTTTTCTTGGTGCCCTCAGCCTGAACACCGAGCAGGT